CCTCTCCACACAACGCAACGCCAAGTTTAAACTGCAGGGTTGGAGCTACAGGAAGCCCAGTAGGACTCCTGTAAGTGCGGTGGGATGAGCCCTTGAGTGACTTCAGATCCCCCTTCCCTAGCACATGTCCTAGTGTTTGCACATAGTAGGTGGTCAACAAACATGTCCCAGGGCTTGCACATAGTAGGTGGTCAATGAACATATGTCTCAATGTTTACACATAGTAGGTGGTCAATGAACACATGCCCCAGTGTTTACATATAGTAGGTGTTCAATGAACACATATACCAGGGCTTGCACATAGTAGGTGGTCAACGAACATAAGCCCTAGTTCTTGTACACAGTAGGTGGTCAACAAACACATGCCCTAGGGTTTGCGCACAGTAGGTGGTCAACAAACACATGCCCTAGGGTTTGCGCATAGTAGGTGGTCAATGAGCACTTGCTAGTTGACTGACAAGTTCTTTGGAGCCTCTGGGGCAGTTTGGGCCCCTCTTTCCCTGCCTCTCACAGGCGTGTTCCACCCACTGAGTCCGTGGAGGATGGGAAGGATCCTCACTTTAGGGAGGAAACTGAGGCTGGTGAGAAGTGGATCCCAGACTTAAACCCTAGTCCCCAGAACTCGGAATCCCGCATCCTTCCCCTTGACCTTGGAGCCTCCTCAATGCTGCTTCAGGAGCCCAGACTCAGACCCCAAACCTTTCTAGCTCCCAGTGCTGCCTCTTGCTGAGATCCAGGGGGAATCTGTGCCACACTGGTCCCCTTCCAGCAGGGAACCCCTGTGGTTTGCTGGCCCCAGAGCCACTGGGTGCTAAGACCTTCTCTTCCCACTTTCCCACGGGCAAAATGCACCCTGAACCCAGGACCTTGGCCTTGGGCTGCCGAGTGCAGACCCCAATTCCACGAGCACCCTTGCGCCTCTTTCTCTTCCCTCCCCACCCCTGCCTTCCCCCACCCTCACCTGCAGCCCCCAGCTCAGCCCAGGGGGTCCAGCTGCCCACCGCAGGACTGGGGCTGGGGAGCTGCAATCCTTCCTTAAATTGCAGAATTCATTTTTTTTCTTTTATCCTTCATGGGTGCTGCTTTCCCTCCTGTTCCCGCCAAGGCAGGGGAGGATCTCTGCGAGTACCCCTCTCATTGCATCTCACCTAGGGCTGGGCACACAGTAGGTGCACAAGAAGTCCATCCAGTGCGCCCACACTGTTGTTCACGCTTCCCCTCCGTCTCCCACACCCCCGGCTCCTCTTGTGTCGGATTCCCTTTTGCACAGGCTCCGGCCACAGGAGGATTCTCCCTGAAGGAGGCAAGTCCCACTCATCTGTTGCTTTCTCCACCCACTTACCGGGTGGACAGGGCACGGTGATGCAGAATCAGCCCCTGCTTCCTGTCAAATGCATGCGCGTGAGCAGGTCACGTCATCTCCCTGAGTCTCCGTCAAATGGCACCCGCCTCGCTTGGTGGCTGGAGGGACTGACTCCATCCATGCCCGTGGCAGGCAGGGGACATTGAATTCAATGTGAAAATGCTGTAACTGAGGTCACTTAAACAATACCAGATATGCTGCTGTTTATTGAGCTACTACTGTGGTCGTGGGCATTAATCAAAGTATTCTATGTGCGTCATTGGTTCAGTGTTTGTGGAAGAATTATCATGTGCCAGGCACTGTCCTAGGTACCTGGGACTCACGGGCAGACAGAAAAAGACCTTTCAGAGATCCTTGTCCTTCTGAAGCTTATGTAAGAACAATGCACAGTTGTTAGCAAACCTAAAACACAGCGTCGGAAGTCACCAGTGCTAAGAGAGGGAACAGGAAACAGGTGACCTGGGCCGGCCCCCACCAACAGTGATGCTTGACCCCCCCCCAGGTCCACCAATCCCAGCACAAAGGACCTGGCCAGAGTCAGACAGAGGAGAGAGGGCCACCTGGAGGGATGTCCATACCCCGGCATGGGGGGGTGACTGTGGGGACAGGCTGACGGAGCGTCCAGGCAGGGGGACCTCGTGGAGTGCGTTGGATACGACTGACCCCACCCAAGAGATGACAAAGTCGAGAGCCAGCCCTGGCTGGGCGGAAATCCATGCAGAATGGGGACCTTGAGATGCCCTGGGAGCTGGTGGCCCAATGGGACACAGCAGCACAGGCTGTGCCCCAGCTGGGCGTCAGGACCTGCCATCAGCTCTGTCCCCTGGAGTCCAGCCCCCACTGGCTTTGCCTTCAGTCCCCTGAGGGACCTGCCCTGAATGAAGGAAAGGAAGGCGTCCGCGTGTCCCCTGGGCTTGGCGCCTGTCTTGGGACATCTGCTGAGCGCAGCCCGGCCTGCTAAACCGCCTTGTCGCCTCCTTGGATACAGCGCAATGACACGGTGTGTTCTGCTCATTAGCAGGAAATCGACAGAGGCTCCTGCTTTCTAAATCACCCCTAATCTCCCTGCACCTGTTTGGGAAAAGGCAGGAGGGAAAAAATCAAGTTGGTGGTAGCACTGCCTGATAGTTCAAACACAGACACTCCAGGGCTCCCTCCACAACAGCTTCTGGGCTCTCGGGCTCCGGGCTTATTTTAAGAGGAACTCTGGCCTCCTGCCGAAGCCTCCTGTTCCTCTCCATCAATGTCACGGGTTTTGAACGTCACATCTGTCTGGGAGCAAGGGACACCTGGCAGTTTCCTCAAGAGTTGTTAAAAAATGGATATCGTCCTGTCACCCCAGCAGCTCAGGAGGCTGAGGCAGGAGGATGGTGAGTTCAAAGCCAGCCTCAGCCACAGCGAGGCCCTAAGCAACTTAGTGAGACCCTGTCTCTAAATAAAACACAGAATAGAGCTGGGGTGGGGCTCAGGGGTTAAATGCACCTGAGTTCAATCCCTGGTACCCTCAAAAAAGAGAGATACCGTGATGGAGCCCGGTGGAAGGACTGGGTACATGTTGATAAGGACTGTCCCATGATTTCTTAGGTAGGACATGCACTTCTTGGGTGGATGTCCCTAAGCTCAGAAGGAGAGTCCCTTGGCCAACCCCATGGTTCTCCCTGCAGCTGGCATTCAGACATCCCGGGAGAGCATGTGGGTGGGGTCACAGCACAGGGTCCCCCACATTGGCCTCCGTGCATGGGCACACGCCATCCCCAACCAGCAGGTGAGTGCATACAGTAGGCACTCTGCAAACACTCCCAGTGCTGCGGCTGAGGCCCCTCCCCCGCTGACATCTCCGGGAGACACGGGGTACGTCTCCTTCGGTAAGGGGCGGCCAGACCCTCCTGGTCAGGTGACCTGGGACAAACTTCCACTCCTCTCTGAGCCTTTGCTTCCTCATGGGAAGGCAGGGACAATGACAGCAAGTACCTCTCGAGCTTGGTGGCTTGTTGGCAAGGGCCATGAGCCATCACGGGGGCCACAAGCTCTCGAGAACCTGGAGATGTGGGCCAGGGACGGAGGCTGTCGGTCCAGAGCTGGAGGAGGAGAAGCAGGGGACACGCCCTGGGATGAATGTGTCCTCCTCAGATGCCCGGGAGGCCGTGTGCGCCCTGGACAGGCACAGACCAGTAAAGACCTGCAAAATGACCGCGTTCATTCACTTAAAAAGACCTGAAGGAACAGCCGCTGCCCTGGGTCCGGGTGCCTGAGGTTGAGCTGAAGTCCCTAGGGGCCTGGCCTCTGAGTGACGTCCCAGGGTGCTGCTGTCCTGGGGCTGCCGTCACAGCCACACGCCAGGGAAGCTCCAGATGGTGGAAATGGCCCTCCTACCCTCTGGAGGTGGCAGGCCCGACATCAAGGGGCCAGCCAGCCCAGCTCGGCTCCCTCTGGGCTCAGGGGCTCCTGCAGTTGCGGACACTCCTCGGCGTCCCTGCTTGGAGAGGCACGGCCCTCCTGCCCACCCTGCCCGCGGCCGCCTTCTCCCCTCTCTGAGCCCGGATTTCCTGTCCTTGGGTTAGAGCCCACTGTGGACCTGCCTGAGCCCCCCTTAACCTGACTCTATCTGCAAAGGCTCAACTCCGTCAGAAGGTCACCCCCACAGGGGTCAGGATGGGAACCTACCTTCCGGGGTTGCAGGGAAGAGGATTGACCTACTGCCCGATCTGGAAGGTCATACCATCTGTCAGAAGGTGACAGCTACTGCAGAGAAAGCTAAGCAGGGTTAAAGAGAATTTCCAGCAATGGATGAGCAGAGAAGTCTTCTGTGAGGAGGTGACATTGAGGACAGAGAGATGAATGAAGGAGGACACAAGCCGTACAGGTAATTGGGGGAAGAGCATCACAGTTGAAAGAGCAGGTGCAAAGGTCCTGCAGCAGGGCCATACGTAGGATGGGCCAGGGCTGAATGACCGAGGGGAGGGAGGAGAGAAGCCGGGCAATCATCTTCGACGGTTACTCAAAAAGAAAGGATGTGCCTTAGAATGACCTTGTCAGGGTCGATGTTTTATAAGGATCCATGGGGAGAACAGATTGTAGAGGCCATGGGTAGAAACAGGGAAACTAAAAGAAGGGACTATTGAAGTTCTCCCAAACTCTGTTGGTCTGGTGTTTTAACTTAACCCATGAAACTCCCAGCAAGGTGACGTTCACTCAAGCTGTGTGTACTCTAAAGTCATTGAACTTTGCCAAATGTTGGGCCCGTGGACAGAGCCCCCGGAAGATGGACACCCAGCAGGAGCTTTGGATGAGCATGAATTCCAATGTCCTCGTTTCCTGCGCACCCTGTGGCCTTAAGCCCTGGCCACTGGGAACTGAGAAGCAGGCTTCGGACACATCGGTGCTCACAGCGGAGAGGGAAGGTGACCAGAACACAGAGCCCCTGGGAGGGCTTCCTGGAGGAGGCGTCTGAGCTGGACGTCTAACACGGAGAGGATCTGGCAGGAGGAAGGGAGATTTGCCCCTGCTGGCCCCGGGGAAGAAGAAGAAGATCCAATTATCCAACTCCAGCCTGTCTCGGGGGCCTGGAAGCCCAGGTGTCTTGCCAGGGGAGTCCCGGGTATCCCCCTCCTCCTCCTCCTTGGTCTTTCCCTCCCAGGGGCCGCCTATGGCCGGAGCTGTGCAGGCAGGAGGGGAATCGCCGTGATCGGGACCTGCATGTCCTCCCGCAGCCCGAGCCCCTGGGACTCTCCTGTCCTGAGCAGGAGGAGGAGAGGGACTCGCTGCTCCTGCAGGCCGCGGGGAGCCACGGGGGACCGCCAGGTGGGCACCAGGCAGGGGCTCGTCCCTGGGGCAACCGGCCAGGGGCGAGGAGGCAGGTCTGCACCCCAAGGAGGCCCTGCGTGCACCGCCCCCTGAGGCTCCGTGTCCCCGGGCCCCTGCGGGGTGGGGGTGCGGGATGGAGCATGGGGAGGCACACAGGCTGCAGGTCTGGGAAGAGAGGGTTTCCATGGCAACCTGTGCTTGCCTCGGTAGCTATGCAAATTCCCCAGGCTGCATCCCGACCTGGAGCCTGCACCCCCCGCGGTGGAGAGCCCAGGCTCAGGGGGGCAGAAAGGGGGTCCAAACAGCTGCTGGGAGGGGGTGCGTCTCCAGGGAGCCCTGGGCCCCGCCCTGGACACTGTCTCGCCTCTGGGCAGGGACCGTCCCAAGCCTCCTCCTGCATGGCAGGCATCCTGCGCCCCTGGACTCAGGCCATCTGGAGGACGGACGGGCTGACCCAGTGACCACTCCCCAGCCCCCCTCACGACACCTGGCCCCCGGCGGTGGGTCAGGATGCCAGCTCCTCTCCCTGGCATCGTTATGAGGGATGCTGACCTGGTTTCTGGACTCCAGTCCCCCTCTCCGGCCAAGCGCCGATGGGCATGTGACCTTGGGACAGTCATGTCCCTCTCTCCACCTCTCCGTGCTGATGTGTCACCCCCCTGAGCCCCACAGAGCCTCACCCTGATTGTCACCATGCTGCTACTGTCACCTTTATCAGGACCTCTGTGCCGTTGACCCCTGCTGCAAAGAGGAGGTCCGGGAACAACCCTCTGTGGTAGAGAGGACCAAGCCCTCGGGCCAAAGCCGCCCTGCAGTCCCCTTTCTCTTCCCCTTTGAGACAGCTCTGGGGACAGAGTTAGTGAAATTACAAACCATGTCACCCCTGCACCAGGGCAGGATGGCTCTTGCAAAATCTCCCCTCTGCATGGGGATCTGGCTGGAAGACTCTCCTACACAATCCTCAAGTCAGTGGGGTTCCCCAGTTCAGAGCCTTACAGGACAGCGTCCTTCCCCGTGGGAGAACAGTGACCCCAACCAGGGTCAGTCCACCCCGGCACTCCCGGCCCTGGCTCACCCAGTCTGAGTGTTGGGCGCACAATAGGCACTCGTATTCACCACCAGCAAGAAAAGGGGGGGAGGGGAAACGGCAGACAGAAGAGTGGAGTGTGGTCACTTTCTGAGCCCGCCCTTCCCTGCCATTCATCAGAAGGGTCCACTGTCACCCTTATTATTAATCACATTCTTCTCATGATCACGATTACTAGGAGCCCTACACCGTCCAGACAGAAGCAGACCCTCCCTGTCTCTTTCAGTAGAAAAGATCATCTTCATTCCCACTCTGACCCCAGACTTTTTTTCTTTTTCTCACCAATGCCCGAAGGCAGAAATGCAATAGCATTTCTAATGTGCAAGAGTATCAAAGTTTGCAAGCTGCTAGTGCGCTCCCTTACAATGGAGTCAATTAATCCTACAACCTTTCTCCTGGTCTGTGGCTGTTAATTGAATTAAATGAGATAATGTTTTCTGAGTATTTAGTGCTCTGCCTGGGAATGCTGTTGCCTAGAGTTAATCTGTCCTGGGAGCAGTTGTGAGCGTGGTGGCGGCTCTTGGTTGGGATTATTAAGACCTCCCTGCGGGGACACAGCCCTTTGGAACTTACAAGGCACTTTCCATTTCCTCAGGATACCGCCTGGGTCTCGATTTTCCCATCAGACAAAGGGGAGTCTGGTGTGAACAAGGTGCGATGGTGAGGGCCTGGCAGACATGGAGCTGAGAGGTGGCGAGAGCCCCGCCTCATCTGTAGGAAGACCCCAGGCCCCCACCCCTGGTGGGGAGTGGTGGTCGGGTTGGGTTCCTTTCCCTGCGTCAGGTTCTGGTACCGGGGGCCCTTGAGGGTGGACAGGTGCTACCTAGGTCCTCGCTGAAGCAGCTCAGGGGCAGAGCTGGGCCCACAGATCTGGTTCACCCCCAGCTCTGCTGGGCCCTGGGACAAGTCCCTTTTCCTCTGCTCTGGGACGAACAGTGACCCCTCCCCACACACACCAGATCCACATCTCCCTGGGACCGTGGTGTGTACCCCGTCTGGAAAGTGGGGGCCTGCAGGTGCAGTTGACTAAAAGGAGGTCATACTGCATGAGGGAGGGACCTACACGGAGGACTGACGTCCTTCAGAGGTCATGTGACGATGCAGAAAGAGGCACTCGGGGAAGAGCATCCTGTGACATGGATGACCCGGCTGAGAGCCAGGGAAGGCCAAGGACTCAGGGGCCACCAGGACCTGGGAGAGGCCTGGGGAGGGTCCCCCTAGAGCCTGCAGAGGCCAGGGCCCTTGATCTGGGACCTCTCACCCCCTGAGTTGCGAGGGGATGAAGTTCTGCTGTTTTAAGCCGCCCAGCTGCTGGTCAGTCTTCACGCAGACCTAGGACACCCACGCACCCTCGCTGGGCCTCGGTCTCTGTGAGTGGGGACCAGTGGGCAGACGCTCGGCCTCTGGGTCAGATCCCGTGAGAGGACCCACGTGAAACTCTTGGAAGAGAGCAGACGCATGCACAGCTCCCTGACGACCACACCGCGGTCAGCCTGGACCAGCAGAGTCTCCCACTGAGGCAGCCTGCAGCCTCCAGAGTGTCCACATGGCCACCGGACTCCCGTGCCCCTTGAAGTGGGCTCCTCTGTCATTTCCGGGACACCTCAGTGGTACCCATCTCACCCGGGGCCAGGGGGGCTCGCAGGCCCTGAGCTGAGGGTGGGGGGCTGGACCTGTCTCCAGACACACATTCAGATGGCGTCGTCGGAGCCAAGGGGTGGGCGGGCTGCAGCTACCCTCCTGCAGCAGGAGGTGGGCCCTGCTGTCCACTCCCCGCCCCGTCCCCCACCGGCCCACCCTTCCCCCATGGATCTCTGAGGCTGACGGGCCACCCGCCACCCACAGCAGCCAGCAGCATCTCCTGGGAGCTCCTAAGAACCGCAGACTCTTGGACCCCATCCCAGGGCTGCGGAATCCAAATCTGCATTTGTAGCAAGCTCCCCAGACGCCCCCGGGGCACATCCAAGTTCAGGCAGCACAGGCCGAGCATCAGGAAAGCGCTGGGGTGGGAGGGACACTGGGAAGGCAGCCGCTTCGGCTCCCGTGATGTCTGTGCTTATTTTGGATTTCACGTCTGAAGGTCACACTCCACTTGAGATCCTTGAAAAACCTTTGGCCAGAATTGTCCCTGCTATGCTTGGGATGTTGGATGACCCCCCAAAGTCCCTGTGTTAACAGCTTGATCCCCAGGTGGTGCAATTGGGAGGCAATGGGTTCTTTAAGAGGCAGGGCCTGGTGGGAGTCTTTAGGTTATTGAGGGTGTGTCCTTGAAGGGGGTTGTGGGACCCCAGTCTCTTCTTCTCTCACTCTCTCTCTTTCCTCGGCTTCCCAGCTGATGAGGTGAGCAGATCAGCCCTGCCACGCGCCCCCCACAAGGACATTCAGCACAATCACCAGTGGCCCAAAGCAATGCATCTGCTGATCTTGGACCTGAAGCTCCAAAACTTTGAGCCAAAACAAAACTTTTCTGTTTATAAGCTATTTTTCCTCAGGTGGTTCACTATAGTGATGGACAGCTGACCAATACGACCCTTCAGCCCCATATATCTGACCACACTCAATTTCCTTGAAATGGACAGGGAGTGATGTTCATTACAACAGCAAACAGTCTTTGAGCCGGGCATCTGACAGCTTAAGAAGCTTTATCTTACTTAATCCTCACACCTCCCTGGAGAGGAGGGCATCATTATCCTCCCCCATTTCTAGGTTTGGAATTGGAGATAGTATTGGCAGCCCAGGGCCCCGTGGCCAGTGAGTTACAAGCTGGGCCCTGCAGCAGGTCTTTCGGTTAACAAGCCTCTCTTTGGCCACAAGGGAACTCATCTTGATGCACCAGAAAAATAGCCAACATAATCCTTGGTTCCAGCTCTCTGCTTTTATATGAAACACATCTGCTCACCCCTCTCCCCCATCCTTTGAGGGGCTACTGTTTATTTATTTCACCTGTCCCCAGACTTTTCTTCAGGCTGCATTGAAAATACCGTAAGACAAGACCTCAGGCCCTTTAACTTCTTTATTTTTGGATCCACAGTGGCTGGGCTTCTTGTTTGCATGTAGTAGGTGCCTAGTAAACATTGGTCAAATTTCCTTTATTTATGTAGCTCAATTATTATACAGTCCATCACCAGTAGCTCATTATCACTTCGTTGAACTGTTTAGTTGGATTTGATTTATGGTCTACTTCCCAGTGGGGGCATTATTTCCTCCCGAGGGGCTGGTTCTTGGCTTCCTGCGTGTGTAACGCTCAGATCTACATTCTGTGCATCTACAGAATATCTGCACTATTAAATTTTCATGGAAAATGATTTAAAAGGGCTCCCAAGTGAGTGATAATAATATTTTTAAAAAAAAGATTTGATACACAGGTTCATAATAGAATTCATTCAAAATTAAATTAAAAAAAAAAACCCAGATCACAAAACACAAATAGAAGACATGATTAAATGATTCACCAGGCCAGTGGAAGCCTCATGGGAACGCTCACCCTCCGTGGAGGTCAAGTCCAGCCGCTGAGAGGACCCCGGAGAGACCACGTTACATGACGAAATCAGCTTAAAATGTTGAAACCGGCACTCTGGTAAGGTGACAATGACACCGGTAGGCTCGGCTGTTTTGTGGCTTGCAGGATCCCTTAGGACAGCGGCCTGCATTTCTGCCCAGCAGGAGGATCTTCGTGCCCTTTGACCAAAGGAATTCAACCCAGGGAATCTGCGACCAGACGTGGATTCAATGGTACAGCAAGCTGTGCGCAGGCGCTCATCGGCTATGAAGCCTGCAGAGGGGCTGCACTTAGAAATGTGCCCTTCCCCGCCATCCCGACCTGCGTTACCCACCCCCCAGCTTCCCCACCTGGGGAGGGCTGCAGGCTTCACTGCAGAGAATGCTGGACCCTTGGGATTCCAAAGTTTGA